GCAAAGTATGCACTAGTAGAAGCCTACATTTCTAGGAATGAAAAATGTTGTCCAAAATTATAAATGGTTCATACTCTGTTCATATTTGTAATATTCAACTAACAAAAGTAATGTTATATACAAGTGTCACCAGGAGTTGCATAGCTCCTGGCGCTTTAACCCCGGGTACCCACTTCGTTTCCCGGCGGTGCCCGGATTTATAACTTGTGTTGGGCAAGGCCGTGGCCTAGGCAACACGGAGTTTTCCTCATTGGCATCCCAACAATTACTCCATTCACACACAGAAGAAGGCAATGGCAAACCACTTCTGGATCATCTGCCAAGAACGTATATGAACAGGTCCCAGTCCGAGAAAAGGATGGAAGGATCCTGTTCATATGGACCTGTCGTCAGACAGAACACTACAAATAAAAAAAAAAATAAATCTTCTCCTCCATAACTGTCAAGGTTTATGCCTCCAGAGTCTGTTCTGAGTCTTAAAACTGATCAGGCCATCTTTTCCCAGTCCTCAAAATATTTTTCTGTCTCTGAGGTTAGTTTCTTTAATAATGCTTTCTTTCTTTTCTCCTCCTTTACTCCACATTTTTTTCATTGCACTTTACATTTCTAAATATATTTGCTATATTCATTACAGCTCAATTATCTCTAATTAATTGGCTGCAGAGATGATCCTATGATGTATATTCAGTGAATGGTCTGAAGTATTTCATTTGTTGAGCTTACTAATTTCTTTTATCCTCTCATTTTATAGAATCTAAAGTTCTTATTCTGTACATAAAAGTAGGTTTTGCCATTACTTCATGAATATTCCTTGATATATTTCTACCAAAATGTATTCTAATTATGACATTCGTCTTATTGAAGTTACTCGTCCGAAATTATCATCTCTATATGTAGAAAATATATTTCCAACATATTTAATATGATATGTTTAATTTACAAAAAATCTGAGTGCTGAATTTATAACTTGGAAGGGAAATGAAAAACATTTACACAATTGTAATGGAACTCTTGGATTTTGGTTTCTTGGAATCAAAGACAGAGATAGTAGGATATTTGCAGTTATCGGAAGAAAACTGTTGTAGAGCGCAGACTAGTTTGAACTGCCTTAGAATAGCATCCGACGATGTTGTTTTGAGTTAGAGATGTAGACATTTCAAGTTGTCCATATTGATAAATTCAGTTAATACTATTTATGAATTCCAGTTGGAAAGTGAAGACAGCCGTAAAGCCTTTGTTAGTTCAGCAAGGATTCTTCTGCGCCAGTATGCCTTTGATGGTCTGGACCTAGCTTGGGAATTTCCTGCGATTCCCATTCAAAAGGAGCGCAGCACTCTGAGTGAGTACCACTATTAGGTATCTGATAGCTCAGAACAGGATATTGATCACCACCTATTGTCCGCAAGGCACGAGAGTAGACGTGGCAGCCGTTGGTTGCGTGGCAGGGGGAAAGTGGGTTCTGCGCATGCACATACCTTTGAACATTGTGCTATCAGTCAGTACATTAGTTCACGACGTGCGGCCTGTATAAGCTGCGTGTGTTTTTTAGTCCGCTAGTAGCATAGAATTCTACCCCGCCTCCCTCAAAGATGTCAGGTCTACTCTTGGACAATACTTAATAATTAAAATGTCTTTGTAATGTCATATATCTTCATGATAGTTTTAACCTACAATGATCATATAACTGTTTCAGGTACAATGATTATTCGTGCACAAATGTTATGCTGATTATTATATTAATTACAATTTTCGCTGTAACATGTGGGTGCAAACACATAGAAAATTATTTTCATCAGAGAAGATTAAATTTATTTGTAATTTAATTAAGGGTAGTTAGTTGTTCTGATTATATAGCATGAAATGATAGTATGATACATGAATAACAAATTACAAAGGATATGGAAGGATGTATCTGTGGCCTTAGGGAGATACGAATCAACAGAGCTAGCTCAGTATAGAGTCCGGTGGCACGCTTTTGTGAAAACGGTGAACCTTAGGGTTCCATAGAGAATGCGGGGTATTCTTTGACAAGCCGAGTATGCAATCAACTCCTCAAAGAATATCCTGCACTGTAGAGTGAGTGAGATTGGCATTTGCCTGGAGGGACTAAGCAAACCATGAAAAACATCAGTAGATCTCTGGTCTGAAACTTGGACCCGTGATCTCCCAAATATAACCTATCAGCTGTGACATACAGTGCAAGCCTGAATTTTGAATGCGTGGACAATCAAGAGAACAAACTTTATTTTCAGTGCCGATTGCATCAAAATATGCGCCCGCAAAGACTGGAAAGTTGTTTAGAATTCTTCAAATGCAAGTTATTTGGGAATTAACATTAGTCTTTCATGAGATAACTAAACTACTTTTTGAGGCTTAGGGGATAAAGTGTACATAATATATATATATATCATCTCGTAATTCTTTGTAGCCAACTATGGTCCTGATTGTGTGACATCATCACACCCCTAACACCGAAACAGCCAAATATTTCAGGTCTCACTGACAGATGAAATATACATGTATGGTATATCAGAGTAAATTATAAATATGAGATAGATTGTTCTTTGCAACCAGCAGAGAATGACATGCTTTCAGCAGTATTTCAAGTCTGAAGATGGCTGTCTTCTGGGTTGTTGAATCATCGCCCTGATGGTGGAGACAGCAAGGATCGATGAAACGTCGGTAAACGTCTACCAGACTACACAGTGCAACAACCCAGAAGACAGGAATCATCGTAAACTCTTTCCAAATGTACATATCGGTCATTATGAAACTTTGTTTGGATATCTAATACATATGATTCATTTTGGTGAAATATTTACTCATTTGTAACCTGAAAATCGTATGCCATTCAGTAACAAGCTGTCTTCTGTTTGGTGCTGCTACCCAAAAGGAAGATCCATATTAATATGCCCTACTTTATATGCACGTTAAGCAGTAACGCTTTAATGAGTTGGCTACAAATAACAGAACATATAAAAGGAAAGATGTTGAAACCATAATGGATTGTTGGTGCTTATAACTAGGTTTTCTTAATGACATACAGGATCTATCTGGCACAGCATCAGGAAGACAGTTGGTCTTGCGCATAGCCACAAAGACGAGAAGGCGGAGGAGCACCGAGACGGGTTCACAGCTCTCATTAAGGATCTGAAGAACTCGTTGAGACCAGATGGTCTCTTGCTTACGACAACCGTCCTGCCTAATGTGGATGCCTCGGTAAGTATCCTGTGGCAGCAGCTGTTACCTGCATTGGTAAAATGTAGTTTTCTCTCTGTTTCACTACACCATTAAGGTTCACATCAACAGCAGCCACATTCGAGTGAACTCTCAAATCTTCTGTCACTATTAGAATCAAAATACATTTTGCCATGGAGATCATTCAGGCTAGCACGGCAGTTTAAATAGCCGAGCGTTCTAGGGCGCTAAGTACAGCAATGGCTAAAAGTGGTTGGTGTGTGAAGCTCACTACCCATGACAGGTTAATTCTAAGGTTAAGACTGATCGGAGCTATAAATATATATGTCAGTAACATGGTACTTATCAGAAGGAGAATTTTGTGTTTATTAATGTTGGTGCCAAACATAAACACTCAACTACACACTACTAAGAATACTGTCGCACAATGGCCGTGTACCACGAGAGATGAATATGGCATACAGTATTTTGGAAATGGGATATTTAAAAGAACAATTGTGCTGAAGAAAGTTGATCAAATTAGGAATGGAGAATATATACAGAGATCCACTGATTAAATTGAAACCTAGTATTATCAGTGAGATCAAATCTAAGAGATAAAAATGAGCAGTCAAACAGATTTGAAGGATATAATCTGAATTAAATGGATAAGAAATGTTTTTAATGTTGGGTTTTTGTAGCGAGAAAGAGTTTTGTGTTCCATTTGTTGTCTATACATATGACAGCTGCAACAACGGGTTTTAAAAAACACCATAAAACTATTTTCAAAATTAAGTTACCACTGTCCTCCACTCACCCATATTTTAGTTCAGAGGTTAAGAACTGGCGGACCATAGGAATATTTGGAGGTACAAAATGTAACATGACATTTTTCTTTCCTGTAGATTTACTACGATCTGAAGGATATTGTACCTAACCTGGATTATATCAGTGTTTTGGCATTTAACTATACAACTCCAGAAAGGAAGCCTGATGAGGCAGACTATCCTGCGGCCCTGTACCAGGCTGGAGACAGGGATACCAACCTCACTGTAGACGGCACAATCCGTTGGTGGCTCGAGAAGGGAGTGCCAGGTAAGGATATTACGCAAATGAGATTGAGAGTGGGGAGAGGCGAAACACATTTCAATGATTTCAAAGGACGTACCTGAAAACTATCATAAAATGTTTTCATACCCATACTGTATCTCTTGCCTCACAAATTATTTTGACTCTCTTTATTGCAGCGAATAAGATCATCCTCGGAATTGGAGCTTTTGGCGTGACCTGGAAACTGACATCAGAAAGCAAGATCTCTGGTGTGCCCCCAATTGGGGCTGATGGTCCAGGTGAAGCAGGACCTCAGACCAAGACCCCTGGTCTGTTGTCATATCCAGAGGTGTGCAGTCTACTTCCTAACAGCAATGTGAAATCGCCATCAGCCCCCCATCAGCTGCGTCTTGTCACCGACCCTTCTCACAAACTTGGATCATATGCTTACCGCCTGCCTGATTCCAGCTCTGATACTGGCCTGTGGGTGGCCTATGAAGACCCTGACACTGCTGGTTACAAAGGTGCATATGTTAAAAACAAGGGCTTGGGGGGCATTGCCATATGGGATATCTCACTTGACGACTTCAGAGGCATTTGTACTGGAGAAAGGTTCTCCATTCTTAAAGCAGCGAAGAATCACTTGTAAGGACCAAGCCCTTGTATATTTGAGATATGCTCGATAGAAATCCAATAAATAGCCCTTACCCGATGTCTTTTATGTGAGTTCATCCACATTAATATATTAAACTGATGTCTTACATTGCTGCTTTGTGGGATGAAACTTACTTTATTTAAAGAAATTGTTCCAGCTACCAAGAAAATTAATTGTATTTTTAGATTACCAAGGTAAAAATTGTCTTTATTCTCAGAGGGAAGACATGCATCAAATTTGTGAGCAAAATATCAAGATATTATTACTAAGGCAAGTGACATGTAATTAATCACCACTGTCCTGTAAGAGATTAAACAAATTGAAAGCTAAAATCCTTCTCATCAGCATGTGGTTGTATTTCCCAGACATCCGATTTTGTGGGGTCCAAAAGAAATTAGAGATGCAAGATGTAATGGGATTCTCTCATTTGCTCTCCTGAATTTTCATGACAAGAATTGTATATCCCTTTCCATAAAGTCCCTGCACACTTCAATACATTTGACAGTAACAAGAGACTGCTCCACGTGCTGATTATATTTCGATTATCGCTGGGACTTCATATTCCTCAATTTATGATTGTAGATGATTTACACGTCTCACATATGTTAACAACTTGTTCATGGAAAGATGATATCAGATTTGGAAAAATACTGAAAGACGGCTCTGATTTTTTTTGTGAATTAGTTTTTGTCTTAGGATCAGGCTTTGAGTTTAGATCGGCACGGATGGCTATCATGCATTTACTTTGTAAACAGACTGAATTGTGTATAAGGAAAAAGAGTATCTCAAAAATTGTGTATTGCATGATGTAAAAAGTGTTTAAAAATAAATAAATATATATGTATGTCGAGATAAAACATCTTCAGAGTTTCTTTTACAGACTTCAAGAAAGCTTATGTCTCATGAGAGAAGCATTGAACTGTACAACATTTACACTGATTTTTGTGTTTCGGAAAGAAGTGCTGCTTCTTGACATAACTAGCTGTTTTTTAAGGCCTCGCATTGTGTGACCAGTTGTATCTGTTTGTGGTGCAAAGTTAGATGAGCACCAGTTTAAATGTTTATCATGTAGTTATAATATTGTGCCTAAGCTGTCACCCAATTTTACAAAGCAAAGTATGGTTATGTCGAGCAATTAGTCTCCTCAGTGAGATACATGATATGGGATAGGAGCATCAAATCGGACGGAGTTACGAAAAGGAAACATTGGCAAGGTATTGATATTGTAAATCATATAAAGAACGCATTTATACTCACTATCACCATTCTTTGAAGGCATGTGTCTGCGAGATACAGATATAAATAAGAGTATTTGTATGTTTTTGTGACGATGTCTGCGTCACTTTCGAGACTCTCGTATCAATTTTGCAAGTTTATTGATAATTGAATTGCAGTACCATTATTTCACATAAATTTCGATTAATTTTTAATTTGGCAGACCTGGAGCTGCAACTAAAACGTTCCAATGTTGGTATTGACTGTGGTACCAGTATATTCTCTTTGGTCTAAACCTTAATTGTGTAAGTTGATTGGTTATTGTTTTCACGTGTTTCGGGATTCGCGATCTAATTTAAATTCAAATCAATGTTCACTTACATCGATTAGCAGTTTTCGACTTCTGAGGTCAGACTTAGAGATTGGGACTGGGTTGTGGCGTTTTATTCCGCCATCCAAATTAACTTTCAAATGATTTGAATAGCGCTGTCTGTTCGTACAGCTGATGACGGCATACTATATAACATTCTCGAGCTGTCATGGCGGTGGACGTTGGTGTTATTTGTTTGTGGTGAAGAAAAATCTCATTGTAGGCACATCTCTTCTAAATTTTAAAGTTAACTGATTGAACGGTAAGTGTAACTTTGAGTTATTGTTCCTTAAAACAAACGATAACATTTGAAAGTGCTTATTTGTATGTATAATCTTCTGAATTTGCAGTTCCTCGTGTGGTTGGAGCTGTCTCATATTTTACGTATCTTAACTGAATGCAAGTTCTTAGTTGTGTGTATTTTGTTGTAATATTTTGTATTTATACATTAACTTACTTAAAAATACCAAACAGAATACCGTGAATAAATATATCCAAGCGTCGTCTTGATCTTCACAAAAAGTTTCCGTGCCATGTACATTTTGTTAAAGAATGTAGGACGGAAGCAGTTACATCCCAGTTGCAGCTGAGATGTGTGCTCAGGACTGAATTCAACCTCGGACTTGTTGATTAAAACATATGGGCTTCATCCTCATTAATCAGACACTTGGTCCAGGCAGTACTGATCACTTGCATTAACATAATTTTATATAGTTTATTAAAATGTCTGCAACCCACTCCGTCCTCATCATCATAAACTTTAAAGTTTCTCTCTCCTGGTATGTCTGTATTTATCTTTTAATGTACATTCAGTCGCATTTCTAGGTAATTTGATTATTGCAGTTTCTGCTGTATGTTGTTATTTGTTTTTGAACATACTTCTGAGCTGAACTTTAAAGTAAGGATGGTCATAATTTTAGTATAAACTTATGTGTGTCTTGTCTTTTTATTTAATACTCATCTTATCATCCCACATATTTAATTAAAGTTCTTTAATTTTGTCTCTAAAGCTTTATTCTCACAAGTAACAATATTATGTCACCAACAAATCAATTTACTTTATTTTTTAGTCTTCCAAATTTTGATCTTGTGAGCTCAGTCAGTATAGTGACTGGGTACAGGCTGGAGGACTGGGGTTCAATCCTCAATGGGGGGGCAGAGGAATTTTCTTCTAGCCTGTGCGTCCAGATCGGCCCTGCCTCCTATCCAATGGGTACCAGGATCCTTTCCTGAGGGTAAAGTGCTGCCAGGCCGTAATGCTAACCACTCAGCCCCATCTAGTGCTTAGGTCAAGAATGAGTAGGAGTTATACCTCCACTTCCCCCAATCTCCTACATGGCGTATATATAGTGGAACAGCTTTTAAATGTTAATCTTGCAAGTTTGTTTGTTTGCTTGTTTATTTGTGTGTGTGTGTCTCTCTCTGCCTCTCTTCCATTTTATGTACCAACACTTAAATTACAGATGCTAGTATGTATTTTATATCAGACAATTTTCTTCAATATTTGTGTACCACTGAAATGAATACCACACTTTGAGGATTACAGTTCTAAATAATTTAATAGATTCATGTGGCTCTCTTACAATATCTGGGAACCAGCATTTAATCCAAACTGTTTTTTTCTTTCTTTTACATATTGCATTCCTGTAGTGCTTCTGTTACAAAGAATGTTAATTGTACTGAAGTCCAGTCTGCTCAGATTAAGAATGTTTGTATGTGTGTGGATAATGATGAACACCCTCAAGGACTGAGGTTATGGATATCTATGGATGCGTTTGCATATGACTGTGGTCCTTAACGGACAATTACGTGTGACTCTCACGTTGAAACAGCAATGTTTACGAGACACGCTTAAAATTAGAACAAGAGATTTGAGGTTTTCATGGTATCAGAAATGCTGAATTTGGTCTTCTAGGTTGTGAGATTTTGTACTGTTATATGTAGTTAGCAATTTTTAAGAGAAACATCATTTTCTTCTTCTGGATAGAGATGTAATGTCGGTAACCACCTACAAGAACATAGTTATGACATTGACATGGGAGTTTCACAGGCCTAGTGTAAATGAAGATGGTTGTCTAGAAAGTAAACTGAGAAAGGCAAAAACCCTTCCCCATGTAAAATGTGTTGTGTAAAGCTGCTAACCAGTCACCTCCACCCAGTGCTGATGATAAGCATACACGATGTCCCAAAAAGATGTATATGTTACTGGCAGTGTATAGAATGACTAAAGTCTTTGGATGGTTACTTCTCCGAAACCTGCTCATTGGGTTTTCCTAATTCCAGGGATTTCAGTTTCATTTGTGTTACAGCTTCTCTGATTTTCACTGTCTCCCAAAGTGTTCAGACATTCCAACATCCAATTCGTGATTTCGTTTTCATTGCAAACATTTTTTTCTGTGTTGTCCATCCCACTGTTATTTGTTGCGGTTTCTCTAATAAGATAATCTCGGATGTATAGGTTATTAGCCTTTATCACCTATAGCTCATTGGAGCGAGTGCCCCCTTACATCACCTGGGCTTGATGGTTTCCTGTAGGAGTATATTCCCTTGGCTGTAGTAGGTGCCCCCAACTCGGAGGACTTTGGTATCAATTTCATCTCGAACCTACCTCTTGAACTGTCCAGCAAGAGAGGCCCTACCAATTACTAAGCTACCACCGGCATAGCTATTGTTGTAATCAGTGCATGCAAGCCCCACCATTGCATCAAGGTACCATTGGGGAGGATGTGGAAGGAATAGTTGTAACAAATTAGAAAGAATTTGCCTATACCTGACTACCAGAAACAATTTGAAATACAATATGCATTCAAGATTTCTGTCTTATGGGCTGTTGCGCCGTGTAGTATGGTAGATGTTTACCAACGTTTCAGAGGTCATACTGCCAAAGTCATCGGGGCGATCACCCTGATGACGGAGGCTGGATGACCTCTGAAACGTTGGTGTTAAATTACCATACTACATCATGTAACAAACCATAAGACAGACATGTTCATACCCATTGCTGTGAAAACCTCAAATCAAACAAAAATATGCCTAGCTCAACAACCATAGTGTACATAAGTAACATGAATTTTGACTTATGATGTTGCTCATAAACAGGTAAATCGTATGGAGTTTGTGTACTTTTTCATATATTGAAGATGTCCTTAGCTGTGTTAAAGGGGAACATTCCAGAAAGAAGAATAAAGTACTGGTCCCTTCGCAAATCAGGTGACTTGGTTTTCTTTCAGGCAAGCACTGGAAGTAGCCTGAACGCGGAAAAGGCCGTAAAAGTTGGGAAGAAAAGAATACGATCTGTGACAGCAGGCTCCCTTGCTACCAGATTTTATGCACAGATACTCAAGAAGACTGAAGGACCTTCACCACTGCCCACTGAACGAGCCAGCTCCAGGAGCAGACGCAACAGAAGAACCTGTCATGACAAATGAGGACCTGTGGCCCTTAGATGTGCAGTTTCTTGCCCAAGAGAAGGAAATCTTTGCAGTCGAATCAACTTTACTTAAAAAGCTGGTGAGCATCGCAAAGTTAGTGCCCACTTTTCATATTGTGCATTCTTTGTATGAAAGTTGAAATGACGTCACCATGGGTAGTCAGGGGTCACGGTCTGAGGTCTTGGGCCTTGTGCCGCTTGGTCACTGGGACCGTGGGTTTGTTACCCACTCAAGCTATGTATGTCTGTCCGCGTTTTTTTGTGTTGTGCTGCCCTGTGATGGGCCGATGCCTCGTCCAACCAAAATATCTGTAGATCAAAACCAACGAAAAATTTGGGACCCCCAGTGCTCAGGCACTTGAAGAACCGGTCGTTCCCAGTATCCAAAGTATGTTAAGTGTGCACAGTCAGAGTGTCTGGTGGCTTTATTTCTCGAAGTACTTGAAAATTATAGTTACGAAACTTGGTATTTGTGGGCATAGTAGTGGGGGGAATACATTAAAACTTGTGCATTTTTTGTTATGTGCTGTATTAATCTAATTGACCTCTGTTTCACATTAATCTTAAATCAAACTCATTAGTTGGTAACAGAATTGCTCACCGTA